TGGGTGGGTGGGGCAGAAGAGGCTACGTTTGGTTCATGAATATTCGAGTAGGTTAATTAATCGTCGTAACCCGAGAGTGAGTTCGGGGCGCTCGCGCGCTCGCCACCTCACGCTACGGCAGCGTGGTTCGGATGAAATACAAAACGCCTTTGTGATGCGACACCGCTGCAAAGTCCTGCCAGCCCGTCCGTTTAATTATATGGTAATTTAACACTCTTATAAACACGCACCGTCTTCCGCAGCAACCCCGTTTCCGTCGCCCCTATGTATCCGCCACGCACCAGCTTTGAACAATCTGCTAGAGCACTGCTGCAGCAGCAGGTACATATGGATATATTATAATACTTGAGATGATGGTAATAATAATAATAATAATAATAATAATAATAATAATAATAATAATAATAATAATAATAATAATAAACGTAAGCAAAAAGCCGATGAAAAAGCATGCCAAGCGATAACGTCCTTGGACGCTTTAAAACTAAATTGTTTTACCTTACACGACGCTAAATCTATAACCTAAATAATTAAGAACAACATAATATTATGGCTACGGGCTTGGACTAAATTTTGGGAGATGGTAAACTGCGTCAAAATTAACCTTTTTCTAAAATTCGATATGTAAACTGCGGCAAAAAAAAATTTAACATTATACAATCTGCGACAAAACCGATAAGACACATTATACAAACTGCTGCAATTTATTTTATATACCTACCAAAGTTATTATATACTATTCATATATACATACCTATATGTGTACCTATATATCTTGTACAATGTACCTAATTATTATTAAATGCTTATGGAGTCCATATTATATTACACTTAATTATTGAAGTCACTAGAGACTGTTAGAGTATTAGGAGTAAAAATTAATAAAAAAGCAATTTGAAAATTGAAAAATATTATTATTAAAAATTATTTTAATAAATCGTTTTGATCGCATAGTAAAAAAATTCAAATAATACAATAATTACCTATTTACTCTACTTTATTAAACATTTTGTCGCTTATTCTTAAAACATACTTTCTTCAAAAATTCGTATCTTGAAATTCGTCTATCTTCTTTCATTTGTCGCTGTTCGTTAATACATTTATTATTTAGCGTTGTCCCTTTATTTCTTTTTTGTATTACCCCTTCTTCTGCACTTCTAATTTGTATATATGTGTCAACTTGAATATCTTGTAGAGCATCTATAAATTTATATAGTGATGGATGATGATGATAAAAATATGCATTACATTTTGAACGGAAAGATTCACATACATTATTTGTTATAACTTCTGATTTCAATGCCAACAAGGAAGGAAGGAATATTTCTTGCATATAATTGTCTGTTAAATAATCGCAAAATTTTACTATTTGATTATTAGATGGCATATCTGCAATCAAATCAAAAACAAACGAATCTTCGACTTCTTCAAGTTCAAGGAACGGATGACCAAAAATATAATTTAAAAATTTTCCTTCATCTGTGTCTCCTTCAATATAAAGTTTGGATAAACCCAAATTTTGAAATTTTCTGAGCCAAGCTGTAGTATATAATAACTTTGGTAGGTATATAAAATAAATTGCCGCAGTTTGTATTATGTGTCTTATCAGTTTTGTCGCAGATTGTATAATGTTAAATTTTTTTTTGCCGCAGTTTACATACAGCCTCAATTTTCATCAAAACTAAATTAAATTTAAAAAACGTCAGAATGTGAATCGGGCACTCATCCCTTACTCATCAGCATCAGATGAGAGGGAAGACCTACCTGTATGTGCCAGTTGTAACATACCTGAGATCAAACATATCATAACAGAATGATATGTCTCTCCCATGAAACGGATAAACGGGAAGAAGGAGTACCAGACATCCTATCTGAAGCCCTTCATCCAGACAACATAAATAACACAATGACATTTATGATTAAGACTAATTTAATCAATCATTTGAACTACTACATTAATGTTAGGTTATGTATTTTAAGATAATATAATGTGAACCTTGTAAAATATTTGCAGTCAATCGACTATATTTATATTATAAAAATAAATAAAAATAAACGTAAGCCTAACTACGACTGTTATTTTGATCTGTTATTCTGTTTGGTTTATCCGTCTGCTCCATGTCTCCGCCCACCATTATCACGTCAAGTCTTCTGAGACACCGAGCGACCGTTTACCGAAACGGTTATTGAATAGTTTCTAATTAGTAATGACAATACATTGTCGGTTATGCATAGTCGTGTACATGAATTAGACATTTTACTAATGCTGCGATGTCTAGTAGTTTTGACTGAGTTTTTTTTTTTTTTTTGGGGGGGGGGGGTAATAATGTGCTGTTAAAGCATCATTCAACGATCGAAATTAATGTAAAGCTAGAAAATTAAAGTGGCAATGTGACATACGCTTTCATTGGTGCTCCACCCCCTCCCACACACAGTAAAAAGTTTTGAACCAAAATCATTTATTAAATGCATTATACTCTGTTGTCAATGAACGTTCTTACATTCGGGTTCGTGCACTGACAAAATGTGACATGAGTATAATATACGCGTATTATCGAAGCCGGTTATATAACATTAATCGTCCGGAAAGAAACCGCGATAAGATGAATGTAAGTGTTGAATCTCTTTGTAATATAATACCCACCATTCGTCATTAGTTTTTCAAAAAGAATCCGATGAAATAATATAGCGATTCAAATTCCTGAAAATATAACTTTATACATATTTCATAATATTTCGTAAGTCAGTCGATATTGGTTTTCGCAATATATGATAATATTAACAAGAGAAAAACTATAATGAGGTATTAATATTTTATAATAAGATCGAATCAGAAAAATGACATTATGTCAAAATAGGGTATTCATACCCTCTGCAGTTAATGTTCAAATATCCTAGTATATTATTTTATTTTACACTTATCTACCCCTCGTTAAAATCAGCTAGGTTGTAAAATGTAAACCTGTTAGCTGGTATCTGGTGTAACGATATAAACTATCGAACCCTTCTTTTACGCTGATACAATATAATGATAAGGGGCTATAGGCAGCACAATCCAGCACAACCTAACCCGCGAAAACAGAAATAAAAACTACCTACAATAATATGATTTATTATAGAGAATACGTATTGCACTACAATTATTGTTATGAATAATCAGATATTCGAGTTCAAATCATTTAGAAGGCTACTACTATACTTAACCAGGTACTCAACACTTTATTTTTCCACTATTAATGCTAATTATGATGAAAGACCATGTATTATTTAACACTAAAGACTGAATCGCAATAATATGTTTTATCGTATTTTTTTAAACGTAGCCTGTAGATAATTATAATATATTTTTGCATAGGTACATACATATTATATCTACTGCATAATTTGTCGTACTATGTCAATTTATGTAAACAAAAAACAATGTGACTGGACTCGGGAGACCATCTAACAGAAATAAAGTACTCTATATATACAAAACCACATGTTGATATAACACCATTGTTGATCACAGTGATTATTACTATTAATAATGATGCGTCATCAAACTGATCAAAGCTCGTTCTTTACTTTAGGTAATTAATGACATTCTAATAATATGCTCGTGTGTCAGTATCGGCACTATTTGGTGCATCCGATACTAGGCTGTATTCCTTGTTGGGCACCACCAGTGCGGGTATTAAGCACAATATTATATAATAATATAGGTACCTATAATATATTTCGTGGAACAATATGAATCCAATATAACACATTATAATTATTGATTGAACTACACATATAATTGTGTTTCTAGTAAGATTTTGTCATATTATAATATTATAGTGTACTATTATACCCCTCTGCTGTGGCTATATTATTATGTTATATAACCGTTATATTATACGTATTCGGCCGTCCATCGTGCACACATAATAATATTATTAATTATATACATATATATTACATTGTACATAATAGGTAGGTACATAATAATAATAATAATAATAATATATCTACGTTCTGTGTATACGTTTAGTTGATTAGCGGGTGTATAATATCGCTCGCCCCCGCGTCATGTATAGGTATACGCATTGCATTATGCACACCCCGCAAACACGTGTAATCGAAGTCTGGAATTTCCGATCAGTTTGCTGGGTACACCAAACAGGGGTAGTGATTGGCATTCGACAGAAGCTTCATAGGCGCGAAATGCATAGCACCCCCTCAGTAGGGCACGTACGCGGCGTATACAACATTATGTGCGCGTTGTTATTAAACTAATATGTTCGTTGTGTATTATCTATACTCCAAGTCCGCCTGTGTTGTATTCCGCATAACTAAACAACAATGCACGCGGCCGAAGGACATGTACTATAAATAGGTACTATCAATGATGTCGGAAATGATTGAGTGTGTGTGTGTGTGTGTGTGTGTGTGTGTGTGTGTGTGTGTGTGTGTGTGTGTGTGCACCTATTGTGGGTTAATTGTATTGACATAATAATCTGATGTATGATATCAAAATAGACTAATATATGGATCAGTGGTGTGACTTTCGACATTTTGGCCCTGAAAAATGTTCAGCAGTTCTTTCCATGATTTATATCACAGGTACTATGATGTATTATTATAGGGTCACTTCGGGCCGGACTTGGATGGTTAGAACGAAAACAATGTTTTCTTTAGACTTAATAACTTATGCAATTAAAGTTATATCAACAGTGTCACCGCGTATATAGGTTAGTGTTCCCTTTTCTACAGCACAATCATACTTTTTGCTAACATAACACACGAGTTTCGATGGAACCAATAATTTTTTCATCAAATACCAAAGTCAAGTGTGTATGCCAATGTGTTAGAATTCGAAACGATAATTGGGAGTGGTGGGAGAATTTAGTGACTTTTGAAATTATATTTTATAAAAATACAAACTAATCGAATAAAGGGATTCCAATTTTAGTATTTGAACCAGCGGACGTCGCCGTCAAGACCACTAATCCCTCAATCGTCTTAGTTACGCCACTGAAGTATATATATATATATCGTTACATAACAATAATATGTACTACACATGAGCATTTTCGTAGCAGATTTTATCGGACTCGAGGACCGGGAGTAGCAGTTGTCTGCTGTCTAGTCGAATTTATCTCTCACGAGCTTTTCTTTGGTTTCCGGACGATTAGTCGGCCCGCTGCCGGAGGCACACGTCTACGCCGTCTCCTGCAGGACTGTCGCAGAGATTTGTCGACGTACATCATGTCGTGTCGCGCAGGATCGCCGCTGCTGCGGCCATTTATACCATTCGCAGACGATCGATTTGCGATTTATCTATGTGCAACTATATTCATTTAATTATATATATATATATATATATATATATATATAGTATACCACGAGCGGTACGTTGTGCAAAACGTGCTGACAGCGGCGGCGGGTCTTTAATGTCGGACGTACACGTTATATTACCTAAAAGCCCATTGCCGGCTGGCGGGGGTGGGGCGGTAGCGTTGTAGCGTGCAGCGAGAGGAGTAGTAGTGGGGCAACCGGCACATTTGTCAAATGAACCGAACCGCGAGGACAGATAAAACGGGACCGAACACTATATACTAGTATTGCGCTATATGTATATATATATATATATCATGTATCATCAGTATATATATATATATATGTAGTATATCTATGTTGTATACACTACTGCGAGCGTAGTTTATTAACGACGACCCACCCGCCGCTCGCCGCACGTCGTCGCGAAACGTCAGTGGCGACGGGGTTCCCCGATCCGGTCATTTGTTAACTTCAATCTAATCAAAACGAAACGTCCGTGTCTGTAGTTGTGTGCGTGAGTTCGAGCGCTCACTATCTTCTCGTCACGACATTACTGTATTTGTCAACGTCCCCCTAGTGCGATATTGTATATTATATTATATTGTTATTACCTACTTCACGACGTCTGAACGCCGCCACACTCCCGCCATATCGACGTTATTATGTTATTATTATTATTATTCAATATAATTTATTTTTCCTCCAACCTGCACCCTATCCCCTCACCACGGATATCCGTTCGGCGATTGTTAATACATCTACCCCCTTCCCCCACCCCACAGCTGTAACGCGACGTAATTCGACCGTTCTTCTATGTACACCTAGTCTACATTATAATAATAATAATATGGTATTGTAGTATTTTATATTGCGGCGCTTTCCACGCTCATAACGATGATAATAATAATATTACCATGTACAATGTCAATACTATTATCGTTTTCGAATGTGTTTTATGTACCATGTCATAATATTTTTACCTGCTTGCAATTAATCTTTCGATAAAGTCTATGGCATCGAGTTTGAACAGTAAGTTATTATGCAGGTTCCGACTATTTGTAATTTCATATTTTACATTCTGAGTGCAGCAATCATTTTTGATCTACACCCTTTGTCACCGGAAAAAGAGATACAGTTTCGGTTAGTATACTTCTTCCGGAATAGAATAGAATACAAGACGTATTATACAGTACCTATTCGATATTTTCAGTTTTTAAAATGCTATTTAAATTTTTAATAGTTCTCGTTTTTATTGATATTCATAGTATTTCATAACGAACACAATAACACTTTTCAGCCATCACTTTAATATAATAAATACCTAAAATATAAATAAAATCAATGTTCGACTTACTCTCAATACTATTTTGCTATATAAGTATCATAATATTATATTATAGTACCCCATACACTCTACAGTATACACATACATACAATATATTGTATAAGTACAATCATTCATCTTTGAGATAAATAATGTCTGTAAATCCATTGAAATCCGTTTTTGCGACATCGCCAATTTCACTTCTAGTTTCCATTATATTGAACCAACGTTTTGATGAATTTTTCTTCGTTACTTTTTCTAAAGTCTGAAAAAAGTATTTTACCGCACAAAATCGATATATACACTATAAATAAAAGCTATGTGCACTTGTAGTTTTAAAAACAAGCTAAAGTTAAAGAAAATAAGAAAATCCATCACTTAAGGAA